CTAAATCCCCAGCCCCAGCAAATATTTGAAAGGAAATTAAAAACATTTCCTCCAGCCGGGCATGGTGGCACATGCCTATAATCCCAGCACTCAGGAGGCCAGCCTGGGCTACAACATGAGTTCAAGGCCAGCCTGAATTGCATAGGTAGACTCTGTCTCAAAAAAACAAAACAGAACAAAAACAAACAAAACCAAAACCACAACAACCCTTTTCCTCCACTGGGGGTTTGTGACGAGCCTCCCTCTGGAAGGAGAGCGCTCAGGCTCATGACAGCACCACACACCAGCCGTGACTCCGGGCCAGCTGCCTCACCTCTTTCTTCTGCACGTTCCTTTCTTCTCTGAGACTCTCTCCACAAACCCTCTGACCCTGGAAGTCCCCCTGCAGGAAATCTGCCCACAGATAAACTAACCCCCACACTCAACAGTGTGAACTAGGAGATGAGCAGCCGGACTAGAAACAGCCCGCCCCTAAGGGGCTAGCTAAATGCAACACTCTCTCCCCAAGGTTTGGAATATTATGCAGCTGTCAAAAGACACACAGCAGTTCTGCACATTGTGATCTAGAACGACCACCAAATGCACTGCTATGTAAAACAGAACCAGAGGCATGGGGGTAAATCTTCATTACCCCCTATGGCTTGCTTCTGTTTGTGTACAAAAGGGGAGTTCCTACAGTTACTGAAGTGGGTGGAGTAGAAACAGCTGTGGAGCAACACAGGAACCAGGGTAGCCTCCGGTGGAGGACTGGTGCCAGCCACCCGTACTAGGTCACGTGTCACTTAGCCATGGGGATGTGCCCTGGGCAGCAGGTCAGGCCGTGATCACGCTGCAGATGCCACGTGGGGCTTGACACTGACCTAGACACTCTAGGTCGCTACTCTGCACCTCTCGGTGCTTCCAGTACGCGGCAGGACGCAGCATTCCACCCCACAGGAGGTGCGCTTGCCCCATGCCAGGGCGGGATCAGCGCGCCACCCACGTGACCCATGCGTCCCACCACGAGCTACGCTCCAGCCCAGGGAGGTATTTTTTAAATAAGAGGAATAGGGTGTAAGAGAACAACAGGAACCAAAGGGTGTTACGAACACAACCCCAGATACCGCCGCTCATTACGACTGTCCAGCCCCACGCACACCCACACCGCGTCTGTGGGCATCACCGCGAGCTCGCGGGAAACACCTAGGCGCACGGGCTGCGGCCACGGCGTCACTAGGCAACATGAGCACGCCCTCCATCTGCAATCCCGCCGGTAGGGCGCTGTCCAGACAGCCGTCCTCCACCAAAACATGGTCACGGGGTGCAGGCGAATCTTTTTCTGGACGCACTTTCAGAATGATTTATATATTAAAAACACATACACATTCCTGCACAAATGCAAACACGGCGCTGAGGACCTTCTTTTAAAGGAAGAACTCTTTCTGGGGCGCAGAGGGTGTCTCTGAGCTATTTCCAGAGGCCAGGGGCCAGCTTTGTGGTGAGCCTCTCCGGACGCCACTCCGTGCCACTGTGCCCGCTGGGTGGGCCTGGTGCTCGCTCCCGTCCGGGCCAGGAGAGGATTCTAGCAGCACCTGCTGCGGGACACAGAGCCGGAGCCAGGCCCCTTCCAGGATGCCCCTCCCCCTTGGATCCTTAGGCAACAACAGCTTTTCCAACTCAAACATGAGCAAACTTAGGTCTCAGCCACCTGGGTCACTCTGGCCTCCTGCTATTCTGGAAGCATATTTACAACTTCAAACACTGCATCTGAAACGGAATGATGTGCAGGAAGTCTCCACTTGCGTTCCACAGGATCAAGAATGTCAGGGCCTGGTGGGGCACCCCGAGTGTCACCAAAGGAGGGTGCAGGGGTGTGGGGGGTGTTCCTGCACACAGCAACTGCACACGAACAGCTATAGCTGGCCCAGCCGTCTTCGAATGACGTCTTATACAGATTGTATGGAAAGGATGTGCTGGGTGTGGTGGCGCACACCTGTGATCCCAGCACTCAGGAAGCTGAGGCAGGAGGATCATTGCAAGTTCAACATCAGCCTGGGCAAAGGTAGTGAGTTCCAGGCCAGCCTGAACTACATAGTGAAACCCTGTCTCAGAAAACTAAACCGAAACAAAAACCGTCAAACAGGATTGGCCGTGAATCGTTTCCCTGTGAAATATCAAGGTGCAGGCTGCTAGCAGCTGCATGCGATCGTCACATCTGTAGGACTGGCTTCCCGGTGTCAAGCAAGAGATGCTTACTCAGAAAACTGCCATCGAGCGGGCGCGACAGGTGCCAGCTGTCCCAGGCGCAGCAGGGGGAACTTTAAGAACCGATGAACCAAATACCAAGTCAGGGCGGCAAAGAGGCGCGGGGGAGCTCAGCTTTCCTGGACCGGCTCTCTACGGTCTCGCCAGGGCCCGGGAGGGAGTGATGGGCTAATTACAAGGCTGCGGTATGAGGATTGAAATCATTTCATTGCATGATAATTTTTATAATTTAGGATGATAATGAAAGGGTATGGATCTTCTTAATTTCTGAGGATCAGAACCTTAGCCATAGGTCCCCCATAGCAGGGGTCTTGTCACCCCCAGTGCCCCCCTCCATCGGGTCCTTCTGACCAGCGGACTCCACCTCTTCTTGTCCGCTTCCCACCTGGCAGCATGGCCAGGCCACACACAGGCTCAGCTCGGCTTAGAATTCGGTTCTCTTTTCTCTAGGCAAACAGCACTTCGGGTGGTAGTTGCATCCAGCAAAGGGGATGCCTATCGGACACCCGCCCGCCCACCAACACCTTCCCACGGCTTGCTGGGCTGCGGGAGGACATGGCTTCTTCCACAGATGCCAGGGAAGCCCTGAGGCCGAGAGCCCGGGGGGCATGAGGACCAGGTGTGGCACGCTGAAGCCCTGGGACTCACCACTCCTCATCCAGCAGCTCTACTTGCCAAATTTCGGTGGACAGAGCAGCCGAGAGAGTGCAGGATGACACGGCACAGGATGCACTCTCGGATCTATCAAAACGGACAAGCCCGTGTCTGCCACTTTACGACCTTGGTGACAGGATGCTGACGTTGGCTCCTGTCGTGATGTCATTGGTGCCACGTCACTATTAATGGCTCTTCCCTCACAGACCTATGAAAATTAATGTAAGTCTTCCCCTCTTGTTGGACATGTTCTATATTTAATAAGGAAAATTGGAAGGAACCCAATTGCCTAATAGGGCACTCGTAAAGGCCACGTAATAGGATTTCCCCATTTGTGGTTCACACGCACACACACACATGCGCTTGTGCACACACACACATCGTTCGTGAAACGGCTCTGCACCAAGATGAACGACGTGGTTTGTTCAGATGATTTTCTTCCCAGTTTGGTTGAATTTATTGTGGATTTTTCTACAATTCCATGCTGCTGAAAACAGTTTCATTACTATTTTTAACTGCCTCTCCCCGCACTGTGGCCAGGGACAAGGTGCAGAAGGCCCATGTGCGGGCGGGCATGGCAGCCGCTGAGGTGAGCCCCGGGCTGGCAGGGGTGAGCATGGCACCTCTGTGGCTGCACACAGCTGTCTCCGCTGACTCAACCCATGCAAATCCGTGGGGTGCGGGCGGCGGGGGACTCATCCCCTGCCAGTTACACATTCCAGAGCAGTTCCTGGTCCGACTCTCGAGAATGAATGATGAATACGTGCACACTCACTTGGTGAACAAACACATCCTCTGACCCGCCTGCTCCCAATGGCAGGGAGAACTGGGGTCACTGGCCCAGAGTCTGGTATCTGAGTGGGTCTCAGAAACCCAACCAACGTGAGGTCCGAACAGTTATGATTTCAAACTCACCAGTGCTTCACTCCTGGAAAAGGGGAAGCTGGCAGGAACACCGGTCTCACAGACACAGCCCACCAAGACAACTGAGCTCACCAGTGACCCCAAGTGACTTCCCTTCTGCCCGGAGTCTTGGTTAAAAGAGTTCAGGGATTTATCAGGCCCGTCCACTGTCTGCTCTGGCTTCCGCCATTCTTTGGGGACAGCCTGCGGTGACTTCTCAAAGGCCCCCAGAGTTAGAGCCACTCCAGGGCAAAGCTGGTGCACAGCTAAGTTCTATTCCAACCGCAACAGCCCCCAAGTGGTCCTACTACGGGACCTCACAGGGCCAGCTCCTGCGGTCAGGGAGAGCTTACGAAAGCGGGTCAGGAGATGCCTGGCTTCCCGGGTTTAGACACTGAACCATGACACACAGCGCTCAGCCAGTCAAGAACTTCCCGGAAGGAAGGGACTGCACAGAAGCCAGCGGACACCAGAATGGCAGACTCGCCCGGGCACAGGGAGAAATGAGAGGAGTAGCGGAAGCCAGTCCAGGGCACACTGTCATTCTTGTGGCTGGTACACCTCACTGGAGGGTTCTGATCCCAGAAACCCAGAAACAACACAAACGATTCCCAGACGTGCAGGACAGCTCCCGAGGGGCGGGCACACACTTCTGTGCACACCTTCACTCCTAGACCACTTCTTACTCTTAAACTGACTTTTCCCCAAAAGGAATCCTGAAAATTCAGTCCTAACACCTCGCAGGACGCGCACGCAGTGTTGTAAGCGGGTCCTCCTTTCCACCTGTGCAGCGCGTCACCTCAGGTTGGGCAGAGGAACCAGGAAGCGTTCCTGCCACCTTCGCTTTCGCTCCCGGTCCAGCTTAACCCGCTTCCATGTTGTCTTTAATTGAATTTGCCCGGTGAATTTCTTTTGCAAACACAAACACTCCCCTGGGTGGCAAATGGCATCGGAGACCCAAATCATTTCCTGGATAGCGCTATTTTAAAGGACAAAACACAAAACCCGTGCTGGTCTCAGAAAAAGCCTCTTATCAAGTCCCTACACGAAAGCAATTACCGAGTTCTTCCCTCTAGGGTCCCCGGGCACAGGCACGTCCACACCGGCCCGTCTGGGATCCGCCCTCTTCCAGGGTCAAAGTCCAGCAGGGCGGCTGCGTCTCCCCTCCCCGCGCTCGCACCTAGGTGGGAAGCTCTGACCTCCGTTTTCTGGCACCTCCCGGACCCGGGGAGGAGGTGGGCCAGTGGCGCCGAGGAAGCCGCGCCCTTCACACCCGCCGGCCCCGCGGGGCGCGCTGGTCCCAGGGCTCGGGCAGCAGCTCCGGGCGGCTCTGGGGCGCGCTCTCCTCCTCTTCGGCGCGGGGTCCCCACT